GAGGGCTTCGTGTCTGCCGTCTCATATGTTGGCGAACTCCGGTGTGTGTGCGTGCGTGCCACTGGTTTTGGCCCGCGACCCGAACTCCGCAAGCGGATGCAAGTCAACGCTGGGATACCTCTTGAAGATCAATGTCAGGACGTTTGTTTTAAACACAGGCATTTACCATGGGACAGCCTCCTGGCCAGGAGCGTCACCTCATGTGATTTCGGGATGGAGAGGGGGCTGCGCCAGTGTTGAGCCATTCCCTCCAATACCCATCTAAGCCCCCACAATAAGTATGGGCAAAAAGGCAATATTGAACCGAAGAATTGAAGGAGAGCTCTGTCCACTATTAGAACAGCACGTACCTAACACGTAATAATTTGCACCACGTTCCTTCTGTATCAAATAGTATCCTAAAGCTACCTAACGTCTTTGTCACGCTCACTTTTCATATGACAGGCCAGTCTGCACATGTTTGACAAGTTTTGCACATGATAACACCTGGATTGGGATAAAGAACAATGGCCTACAATATCTGACAGCTATCAAAAGCACTAGCTGGCCAAGAAAATTAGCTCAGGTTTCCCGCAACAGTGGCAAAGGCATGAATCACAGAATCATAGCGGTGGCGGCATTCTCCCGCTAATGTAATGGTAAAACGCGATCAGCGACGGCAGGCAGCCATCCGTGATTCCGCATCCGTCAAACCGTAACAGAAAACGTTGCTCGAGGTCGGTCCCCTGGTGGTCCAGCATGAGCGACAGCACAGCCTGCTGCATGTAGCCAATTGTCCGATCTTTTGCCCACGGTGATGTGCCCATTTTGGAACCGACGAACAATTTTTTGTTTTAACATCGGAAATGTGCATTCAAGTGGCCGAAATTCGTGGAGAAATCTGGTTTGGGGATGGGCTAGATCAACCTGCTGAGCCAAGCCTCCTTTCACTCCTCATCCAAGCAGGCGACACTCGTGCCCCTGGCGCTGGTTTGGATGACGTCATGGCGTTGATTTCCTCTGAACGTATCGGTGTACATTCCACAAAATCACCCAGGACGACCCCCGACTCGTCACGTCGCTGAACGCTTGTTCTGGGATCTGATCCATACACGGCGTCCTGGGATGTCCAGAGGCAGCACAGACCCCACACCCGGGACCAGTCACACGCCAGCTGCGCACTAATCCCTACCCAAAGCGAGTCTTCGCCGGCCATCCTGTTCGCGGATTATACTTATTATTAATTAATTTAAATGCGTTGTTCCGAGACCATTGGCCATCTCCCCACTGGCCACAGCTGCATGGATTCATTTCATTCAGCAGAGCTATGCAGGAACTGCTGAATGACCACGACCTGGACTGGTGGCAGCGGAATTTCGCCTTTCCCTGAACCAGTCGTTCATGTACGAACTGTCGCACTCACATAAATCACGTGGCACGTGGCACGTGGCCCAGTGCTGCTTGTCATCCGTGCCAAGTTACAACATCCTTGAGCACTGCACGGCTGACCTAAATCCACATGAGCCCATAGTTTGACATTCGACCTTGGGCGGAGACAGCATCCCCATGACGAAAATCATGCTTCGAGAATTGGCTCATCACCCAGCATTCACAGCTACATCTGCAACGCGAGGAACGGACGTTCCAGAGCAGTGCTCCAAACACCCTTACTGGCCTTCCCACCAACTTGTGGAAGAAGCCCTGACAGCCCGAATGAACTGGAAGCATTCATCCCTAAAGTGGCCATGTCGCTGAGGTGGAGGCTGGCCACGCTAAGCCCCGGCGTCCACACAGGCGGTGGCTGTGGGTCCGCGGGGCCGGACCGCGCGCGGCTCCGGCACGGACCGGCAACAGAGCGCGGCCGCCTGACCCATCATGTGCAGAAGCGCTACTGTGATGCCCGACGCACCCGCCAGGGCAGCTCGAGATCATATGCGATCTAAACGCTAATCAACGAGCTGTCTTTCCCACGTTCTCCGCAGATGGGGGCATTCGTCTATTCATGAATGAGAGGTGGCAGTTCACTCGCCCCTTGATCCTGCCCCGCGTGCCTGGGGTAGGCTGCATGCGCCAGCCATGAGTGGGCGGAAGTGCCTCCTGGTGGTGGCCCATTGCGGCCCGAGCAACGAGCACGAACGCACGCACGCACGCACGCACGCACGCGCACGCGCACGCGCACGCGCACGCGCACACGCGCACGCGCACACGCACACACACACCGCAGAGGGGGCTCCTGAGTGGGAATAGCCTCCGCGGATGGGTCCTCAGGTGCATATAGCTTGCCCTACCGTTATCCATCACCCACACCCCAGAACCTTGAAATTGCCTTGACTCGCCGAAACAGCTCTTATCCAACTAACCAATATAGCTGACAGGCCCTTCCAAATCTTGGATTTAAATAGTGGTTCCAACCACTCCGGACGTGCCGGATATGCTCCGAAGCAAGGCCGCTTTTGTGATCGCTTCGCCCCACGATGCGGGTTCGTTCAGCACCGTAGGACGGCCCTGACATCGCTCATGGCTCTCCACACCATCCCACGGCAAGTCAGACGCCATCCGCCGGCATATGCGACCAGTAAGGCATCTGGGACGTGTTTCGAGAGCATGTGGCACTACCGCCCCTTGCTCCGACTGGCGGAACTATTGAGTGATCCTCGCGTCATCTGAAGGTGGCTTTGTATCACCACTTAAAACCGTGTGTGGCCTTTGACGGTCTAAGATTGAGGAAGTGCAGCATCCCCCGCCGTGCGGAGCAGGGGGCAATTTTGTCTCAAATCCTCGCAAACGCGTCCATGCTCCCACCCTTGGAGCACCTGGACATAAGAACACGGAGCTGAACTGCTTGGCTGCCACGCTCCTATTATGTTATGCCGAACACTTACTGCTAAACTCCATTCTCCACACACAACAGGCATGTGGTTTCTTACATACATAGCTGAGGAATTGTAGTGAAATAGAGGCTTGATTTAACTGATTTAACTGATGCACAGCGAACGGAAACCAAGTCACTGTCACGTACAAGTCACCAAGCCACTGTCCGTGGTATTGGAGTTTGGAACAACGCAGCTGGCATAGAATGCTTTTTGGAAACTATATGGTCTCCAGCTCGCCGAGGCCCCCATTCTGAGCGCTTCAGTGTAGTACTGAGCGGCGATGTGGGCGCCACCAGCGGGTAAAACGTGCTAACAGAGCCCTCTACTGCCCGCCCCCCGCCGAAATGCCGAGCACTGCAGCGACAGTTCTGATCAACCCCTGATAATACCGCAATCGGTTTTATTCAAATTTGTTTCTTTTTTACCATTTTACGGTGATGACGTCTGAAGTCAAACGCGTGTATTCGTCAACGTACCTCGCTTTGACATACGCTACTTGCAATGGATTAACAAGCTTATTCATTACGCGTTTTCACCACGCCAAAACAGCCCGAGACATGATTGTGAATTCAACACTGAGCAGTGCGACTGGGACCCATGCCTTACGCCACTACGGGCTTGACGGTTTTCGGTACCACTCCAATGATATAATATATAACTCAATGATACTCTGGCTGCTTGACCCGCACATTCTGGATGCTTGGGAGGCATTCTTTTGTTGCGTATTGTTTTTTTGTTGTTGGGGGGGGGGGGGGCGGGGCAATGGCTGCAATAACACTCGATACAAAACAGGTCCACTAGTAGCAGAAATTGGGCGGGGTTTTCCAGCGTTTGACTGTCCATTCATATAACGCACAAAAATGGGCATGTTTCCAACCCCCACCAACCCACAAAAAATCACATCCAGATTAGGCCAGGGCGACTTTTCAAGAAGCTGTACTCGCTTAACGCGGCCTTAAATGAAACCAGTGATATAGCAAGACACCCCGGCTGACGTTCCCAGTAGGAACGCTAGCAGGGAAGTTGCAGATAGTTAGGTGCACGTACATTTTGAATGCACCAGCAGTCCTTTTTTACCCTCTAATAAGTTCTGACATGAGCGTGTTGACAACTACCCCCCCCCCCCCTTAGAAAAAAATTCAGTTTTACGCGTCATGGGTCATACCCACAACATTGTGCAAGGTACATGTCGTTGATGGTTAAGTTATGTTATATGCTGTTGTTGACGCTTTCAATTGTTTTTTTTTAGTTTTGCAGATCGGATCTATGAAACTCGTGTTCCGATCTAGGGAACTATCAATGATCTAGAGGGTAAAATCAGACATCACATAAAAAGGCACAAGATAACGTGAGATTTTAAGTGCATTTGCGAGGAACAATATGCATATAGATGATTAAGCATTAAAACAGGAGAAGGAAAAGATAGATGTGACGTGTCGGCTACATGTCCTTATCGAAAAGAATATTCGGCGACACGATATTCGTTTCGATAATGGCATGTAACAAATATCACATCTATATCTCCATTCTTCTGTATTTTTTTACGAGGGAATAAGGTTAATACTGTCTCAAAAAAGTACAAAATTCAACTGCATCATATGAGCGCTCTCATCATAATGCTGACAAGGTGAGTATATAGTATTTTCACACATTTGGTGGGTTCTAATACCTGCATAAACAGCCCTTTCATTTTAGGTTATGTGGGATTAAAAGTCAGCAAGAAGCAATCAAGCATGGCAGAACGAAAAGTGAGCAGTCGGACTATGTTGAAACCAAGGCAGCTAACAACGTTCCACTGTGTGTCTGTTAATTTCGTTCCAAACGTCCATTTCGTCAACTTTAAATGATAATTGATCACGATAATATTCCTGTTGACTGGTGTGCAGGTTAAAATCCGGTTGTTTCGCTCACACGGATGAGGCTGCAGGGGCGAGTGGCGCACGCAGCGGCCGCGAATGTCCCCAGCATGCACCCCGCCAGAAACACGAGACCACTTCGGCACGCCACCGCAGCCGGCGGATCCCGGCAGATCAACGCGACCGTGCGATACCAAGTCCAGATGTGCTGGGGCGGGCGGCGGCCGCAGCACCGACCCACCTTCATCCTCGTGCTGCTGCTCGGGCGGCGGCGGCGGCGGCGGCGGCGGGCCGGCGCCCGGCGGCGATGTGACGGCGCCGTTCAGCTGGTCGGCGGAGGTGGGCGGCGGCGCGCCCTCGGCTGGCGTCACCACCGTCTCGGATGTGGTCCGCGAGCGCGGCGCGCCAGACGTCGCCGCCTGCGCCACCATCTTCGCGAACTCAGCCGCCACACCTGTGGTGCCCTGGCGAGCAGACGGCCAGCCGTCAGCGCCCGCCGCCCCGGCCGTCCGAAGACGCGTGGCAGGGCGTCAAGTCCGGCCAGCGCGAGCACCCCTCAATCAACAGCTTCAATGGCGGAGCATTGCAAAAACAAACCGGACGGTCGCACCACCGCGTATCAGACACGTGCGACCCACAAATTATATTCCTGCTGAGCGCGCATACCCGCGGCTCCAACGTCGCCACCAGAGGGTGCCTCATCGCACGAGACAGGGCCGCACCTACCCCTTGCGTGGCGGAGGCCTCCTTGTCGGCGCCGCCGGCCGGGGCCGGCTCCTCCCGCGACGTGGACACCTCCTTGCCCGTGTCCGGGTTGATGATGGCTATCCGCCGGCTGCCGCGCGACGGAGGCGCGGCCGGCGCGGCCGGCGCCGCTGGCTGCGGCAGCGGCAGCGGCACCTGGCGCTGCGCGTGCTGCTGAGACACGCCGTAGTGCATCGACGGGCCCTGCGGCTGCCACACCGGCTGCGGGTACACGTGGCCTGCCGCGGCCAGAGCCGCCGCGTCACAGGTGGCTGTGCGACGCCAAGGCGGCGGTCGGCCGCCGCGCCACCCCAACATCCACACAACTGCACGAGCGCTCCGTCTCCCGCGGCCTAGCCTGGCACGGACGTACGCGATGAAACTAACTACATGGAACACTGGCCACTTGTGGAACAGCGAAATAATCGACACAGGTTGAAGAGCGGCGTTCAGGTGCAACCCAGTGCTAAGCAATGTAGGTTTTTGTGCAAAAACTTTATCCACAGGAGCTGAACAAATAACATTCAGCCATCTGTCTGAATCTGGTTCTCCCACATGTCTCCGCAGATAGTCCTTGACAGCATGATCACATCTAAACATTTCATTTTCAGGAGAATAGCACCTTGCATGCATATAAAAGAGACAGTGTCACTTCAATTTCCATGGCAATGATAGTTTACCACCATACCTCATGGTTGGTTAAGCCCACTTGTAATTTGGGATACATCCCAAAACTTAAGATTTGAAATTGATTGTTTTACAAAACACATTATTGAGCTGGCTATAAGCATTACAATTTCTGATACTGATTTCAACTGGGAACACAACCACAGCTAAGAGCATGTTTTGGCCCAAGGGCATATGCTTTAAGGCTATGCACTTATGGCATACTTCAACTCAGTACACATGTCTATTTGGAGTGCATCTCTGTGCTCGGGGAGTACCCACTAACACTGCATGCACTTAATGACCATAAATTGAGCATGGCACTGAAATTGGCTGATAAGTATTTCCTCTGGTTCACAAATTGTGTGATTGTGAGAAGTACTCAGTAGCTGGGATTGAACATATTTGTCAGCTTGATTTGGGACAACACAAAAAACAAGAACAAATATGCATGCACACATGCGCGCGCACACGTATGCATGCATGCACGCACACACCCATATACACAACATATGAATGCATGGTGGCCAGAGCATGCAGCATCACTATGAGGACAAAGGAAAAATTTGGGCATGCAGCTAAGGTTTCAAATTTTGTCTCCCACAATCAGACACAAGGTTGAAAAGAGCTTTTCTATTGTAAACAAATCTGAGGAAAGGAAATATAGCACTTTGTCTATGGCACAGAAGCCTAAAAGAACCAAAGTGCATGCTGCTCGGATCGTGTATGCAATTAGATATCAACTTGCTTGCCATGAAAAATGACCAGACAGGCGCATGCTACTACTGAGAAAATTAGCAGCATTTAGACCAATACACAATGACCCTGCAAAATAAACAACCTGTCCCCATAATAAATTGTTACACACTTTTTGACATCTGCAGCCATGGCAAAACCATATCCAACTGATTGTTGAGGATCCCAGGATTCTCCTATACATGTCACTTTGCTGACATGACAGCATCCAATTGACCTTACTTGGCACACAATTTGTGGTCATATACAAGTATTTTGATAGGTTGGTGGGTGATTCCTTGCCAAGCATTGGAAACAAAGGCCAAGGAAATAGCCATTTTACAAGGTGTCAAGAACCTTTCCTAAATACCATTGCATGCTATGCATGGAGCATATCATTCAAGAGAAACTCCACATGACTTTTTTCTGATTCTAAAACAAGTTTCAAAACCTATCATGTCAAATGTCAAAAAGCTTGCATCCTTTTACCATCATGACCAATGGTAATTCAAGTACTCACTTGAGATAAACCTGACCTTGACATGACGAGTTTTGAAGTGCAAAACCCCTCAAAATGGCAACAGCTTTCCAACATTATCTTACTTCTCATGGAAGGTAACAACAGCTCCCCAACACTATCCTCCTTCTCATGCGTCAAGTCCCCTCCTCAAGTCTCTAGGCCACTTGGGACCCTATCAGCCACAAACCCAGGCCAGAGGCATTCACCACCTGGTTGGGTATGGGCTACATTGGCAAAAACTGGTGTATATTTAGGAGTCCAACACTCTGAGCAGCATGAACATGTAATCAAACATGAGCCTCCACATACTGGAGCAGCCATGTTTGTTTTGTAAATCATAGCACACCTGTGCAAAGCATTCCATATCTTCTGTATATGAATAGATTATCATTATTCATCAGCCAGGGCATAATTTGTTCATTGATATGCTACAATATTTGTTTGCATCTTTATTTATCACTTCTAACAATATGTTAAGGCTCTGTCCAGTTGTGTCCAACCTTAGGGCTGCATGCTGCTTTGGTTATTGTCTGTTAAGATAATGCATGACAAGAAGTAAAGATCAGCTGTCTGCTTTGCTGCAGAGGTTTTAGGTTATGTCAACTGCTATGGTCACCTCATCTGATTGATCTGCTTGGGATATTCAAGTATGTTACCTTGTCATTTACTTTCCCAATGTCATGCAATCGCCAGTTTCAGCTCATGCCTGGGGGTGCATGCTGACTGGTTGAAAATGTAGCTGAGCTGTGACTGGGGGCCTGACATGCACATTGTCTATACCAGGCCCAAATTATCCCTAGAATGAACATTAAAGGCTCATAATCCATCAAATGATCAGTTACCACTGGACACATATTAGGTCATGTCAGGTGATGTACATCAAATGGAACTCTGTGAAAGGAATTCTGTGACATGCTCATACATACCTGACATGAAACAGAAAAAATATGTTGTCAAACCATGGTCCAGACTTAACCCTTAAGCCCTGCAGTTGGAAGGAACCTGATTAAAAATGATTGAATACATACCAAACATTACGTTAATTATTCCCAGATCCACAACAATCAAGCATACTTTGAGAACTCATTTTCCACAACCATCATGAAGAACTTGAAATACTGACATGAAAAGACATGAAACAACCAAATGCAATGCTGGCAATTCAACTACATGAATTTTACAACAAATCTGAAAAGCATTTCTTAAATAATTGCTGCACATTCTTAGATCAAAATGCCTCCCATGTGGGTGCCCATTGGATGTGTGACTGAATATTTAATTAACTGACATAAGAAAACATTGTGAATGTTCATCAATTCCAAAAGTTAGCCAAATTTCAAAAGTTAGCCAATTTCTTTTCAAAAGTTAGCCAAACTTCTACCTTAAGTCAACCATCCTATTTTTGATATAATTTTACACCTAACCCAAAAATTGATGCCACACACCCAGGAAGAACAAGTACACTTCTGCTAAACCAAATCAACTATCATGAGACATGTCTCATTCATAGAACACTGATAAGACCAGTGCCTCTACACATGATTATCACATCATATCAACCAGTGGTGATACTGTCACTTGGAGGTCAGGATACCCAGCCAGCCCAGGCTGTTAAAAAACATTATCCAATGCCCTGGATATCCAGAAATATAAAGGTACTGAGCCTGTGACATGTATAGGCAGAACACAATGTATGTTTTATTAAAGGGAGTGTTCTACATTTGAAAACATTGAAGCAAGCATCATTTATGATGGAAGGGGTTTACTTAAATTATTGGTACACTTTGTCAAAGACTGCTCAACATAGCACAGCTTCTCTATTTAATAAATGTGATCCCCAATGAAAGTTTTAGCTTGTCACCATATGCTGGACAATATTGAGAACTAATTAACAGCTGTTCTATCTGGAAATTGTGCTCAACTCCAGACCAGATGTGAACAACTCCTCAATGCCAGACATGAACAACCCAACAACACCAACCAAATTAAAAAACTCATCAATTGTATTTCCATTGGCCTCAATCACTGCATAGTCAGTGGAATGCCAGGAACTGAAAGACATCTTCCTGGGAATACAGGATGACCTTGAAATGGTATGCATTAACAGTCTTACACATCTTTGCTGGCATAAAGTTCAGAAAATGGGCAGGTTTAGGATACCCATATGCATGTAGTTCACAGCACAACTCTGATACGATGCTGGATATGAATATGGGGGAACATGTAACTCTTACGGTTTGGCAGCCAGTCTCCACATGGCAGCTGCAAAACCAGCTACCCCTTGTGATACTTTTCCCTGATACATTTTAGAATATGATGAGGCAACCATAGCCTCCACACATGTAATTTAAAACAGAAGTGATATATAATCTACAAGAAAGTAAAATCCTTTGCACATTCATGCCACTGGCTACACATTATAGGACAGCATGTTCAGGGCATAGATGTTGATATCTGGATTACTGCTCCAAAGCAAAAATAAAAATGAAACACATAGAAAGTAACCACATCAAACAATCAAGGAATTACTCACTCTGTGCTTGTGTTGGCAATGGATATGCACCCATCTGGTACTGCATTTGAACAAAACGTTGGTTCTGCATCACCGCCGATGGCTGAAACACAGAACAGGATACTTCAGCAATCAATGTCGGCAGCGCAGCACTAATCACAATATTCGACCCCCTCAACTTATTCGGGCAAACGTCCGGACATTGAATCGCAGAGCACAAGGTCGAAGAAAGCTGCCGGCGACGGGCGCCATTACACCACATACGCCGCGGCGCATCAAACTTACGTCTGCACGCACCATTCTTGCCATCACATCGTATGGATTCTGTTCATTGTATGGCTGATACATGCCGATGCAAATATATCAAAACCTTAAATCCCGCGAGCTTCCAACCAGCACCAAGCATATGGTGCCACGCCGCCAGGTTCGCCGCAACCACGTGCTGTCGTCACTGCGGAGCCCGACCAATCACGAAGGAGACTGCGACCAAATCCGCGGGGGCTATGGCTTTGGATCACGGCGGCCATAATGGCCGACGAGCAATAACACCATCATGCGAAACCAAAATAAATACGGATATTTTATTAGTAAAGTAAAAAGACAAAATGGCATGTTTTGAGCACCAGTGTCAGAATAATTTCGTAACATGTGAAGCAAAAGTCTCGGGTTTAAGCAGTGCAAAACGGCCAGAAGTACAAAAATAACCCGTAGGTGGCAGGGCAGTCGCCCACGGAATCCTGGCGGGGGTGGTCTCAATCGGCGCGGGCGGCGTGGAACTGCGGTGTTGACGAGGCGGTTGCGTTGCGGGCGGTGGGCCGCTCATGAAAAAACGATTGCGGTTGCCGTTTTGGTTGTGAGACGCAGCGCAATAGGCGGCTGCCTGCGTTTATGCGACTATCGCGGGCGGTGCTGTCTCGCAAAACTGGTGGGGGATAGATAGGGGCTGTGCTTGGGGATCCCTAGCGCCAAATACAGATTTCTGTTCGGATTTGGAAGCATTTCGTGGAACTGAAGGATGGGCACCCATTTGTGTTTTGCTTTTATTTGGGAGCTATGTGAGAAAACAGAAAGGAAATTATGGAATGCATCACACATGTGATTTTCTTGCAGGAAGCCTTGTGACTGGCATGTTTTTCAAGCTTTGCACGGAAGCGTTGTCCTAGGCTGGGAGATCAGAAGGGCTCGCTGTTTGGGTGTACTTAGTTGCAAGCCCGAGGGGGGAGAGGTTTAAAAGAGGGGGCAGTCGGCCCGTACCCCACCCTACAGACGGGCAAAGCTGGGCGATGCGTACACATTTCTGGATTTTGAAGTATCGCCAACTTTGGGCTATAATAATTTTGTTTTAGAGCAAGGTAACGGAACCAAAATCCCATGGTTGAAAATGCGGACCCCTTTTAGATCACTCCACCGCCCATGCCGTGATTGGCGCCTCCCGAGGCGGCGTTCTGGATCCGTCCTCGGAGGGGTGAGGCGGGGGGGGGGGGGGAGGGGGCTCAGCTGTAAGTTCGGGAGCTCAGTCATATGTTGAGGAGGCTCGAGCCTCATCTGGATGCGTACTGAACGTGCGGTCATTAGCACTTGTGCCATCTGTAATCGGTCGCTTTCGCCAATTAGCCAAGAACCGACGCGCGGACGATCCGGATAATCTCAGCTTCCGCACACAAGCCTCCAGTGGATGAGGAACATTCAGCACAAGGGGTGGCGGGGGCTGCACTCTGGCTGCCATGCCTCGACCGCGCTCGCCAGGTGGCCACGCTGGGTCCTGGGGACGGTGCAGCTGCGCGCCGCTGCATGTGCCGTGCACAGCTGCACACCTGGCGTCCATGGGAGAGGGGGTGGGGTGATGCGGACGTCGAATACGGCACTCCCAATCTCGGCAATCTAGGCATGTTGGGTCGGCCAGCCTCAGGAACAATACAATCGTCCTGCCGTAATCCCACGAAGGAGGAAATTAAGCATCGACCCCTTGACCCTACGAAAAATTCAACAAATTTGGACCGCACTGCCAGGTCTTTTTTGTGCGGTGGGGTTGTTTATACATGCATGCTTTTGCGTGCTTTTTTAACCCTTATCACTTCCTGTTGTTTTTTAACATCTTGTTTTATCTCTCAGACTAATGATGCGCAATGGCCACGTATGCATGTGGAATGTCAGCTGATGTTAAATACAAAAACTCGTTTCGTATGGATCGTATATAAGATAGGTTCTTATTGCGGTGAAACAAGACAGAACAGGGATCATTGAATGCAAATGGAAATGGCAAGGGGCTCTTCATGCTTCTTAAGTACGATGGACCGACATCGTGTTCCTCATGACGGAGCGCACCTTCGGCTACGTTCAAACCCTCTCGGTCTTTAATGATACTCTGCGTTGCAATCTCGTGCACAATTCCAGCGAATGACGTCCACGTTCCCACTGCATTTGGAGTTTGTCAGCTTTTTCCGTCCGTCAAATCGCAACGTGCAAGAAATTAGGCTGCCTATGTGTATCTGTGCGGACACCATGGGACAAGTTGGGCAAATGGCTGGTTGAGATGCATTCGTTCCTTGCCTGTTGATAGGTGGGGCGGTCAGGCGGAAAAACAGGTAGAGCGGAGTTATGCTAATACGGTTCTACGCAACATCAACAATCCACTAGATGATAAGTGAACTCCAGTTTCGATTCCCACTCAATATGCTTCACCCTGCGACTAGTGGTAATGTAGAAGACGCTTCAATAGTGAATGTTTTCGAGTTCAAGTAGCATTACATCCATCAACTTCTCCCTCCCCCTCCCCCCCCCCCCCACACACAAATAAAGTGTCTAGGAAACAAATACTACGATATACTGCTAGAATGCATCAGCCCGTAGCCAAAATTGCATTATGATCCACTGTAAGCTGCAAGGAAGGGTCCTGGGCCGGTCAGGCCCGAGCGCATGACCCCTGGTTTACATATGCGGTGGCGATGCCGGCCGCGCCTACGAGACCGCGGTGCGATATCAACTGCACCTGCGAGACCGCGGTGCGGTAGTCTGCACCTCCGAGACCGCGGTGCGATAGTCTGCACCTACGAGACCGCGGTGCGATAGTCTGCACCTACGAGACCGCGGCGCGATAGTCTGCACCTACGAGACCGCGGTGCGATAGTCTGCACCTACGAGACCGCGGTGCGATAGTCTGCACCTACGAGACCGCGGTGCGATAGTCTGCACCTACGAGACCGCGGTGCGATAGTCTGCACCTGCGAGACCGCGGTGCGATAGTCTGCACCTACGAGACCGCGGTGCGATAGTCTGCACCTACGAGACCGCACACCGTCGCCCACAAGTTGAAGAATTCATGGGGCATCGTGCAGAAAACCGCACCCTTGTACACCACGGCAGTTTGACCCCCTCTAGATAAGAACGCCACTTAGATCAGAGCTCTTTTGGTGCTAGGTTCATCGAAATCGACACCATAGAATTCAATCCACAGCTCTCCGAAATGCATGCATTCAAGACGCGGAGCCCGTATTGGCTGGTGGGAACACTACGCCGTCCAGCAGTGACGTCGCAAATTAATCCTCGGTGTGTGGGGAGGGGGCAAGAATGGAATAAACCGTACGGAAGGACTGAGACGAGGTACTAGTATGTTACGCATGGCATCATTGTTCGAACTAATGTAATCGTCTGGTGTATTAGCATGTACGATACGTCTACGTACATCTACATCGTCTATGTATGTACATCAGTGTGGTCTCTGGCCGTCGCCAGGTGTTATGGAGTCCTTAGAAAAACCAGATAATACCTGGATTTGTCATGTACGCGTGGCAACCCGAAATTTTCTGCTTGGAAGTGCTGGGATTCGAACCTAAGTCTACTGATTGCAGGTCATCTGTTGCGACCGGAAGGTAACAACACGGAAGGATCTTTCCAGTTAGCTCAGCTGGCGGAATCGCGTGCCGGAACCGGGAGGGCACTGGGAAGAGCCCCTCCGGTTGCCCTCAGTTGGTAGAGCACTGGCCTTGCAATCAGAAGATCCAGCAATTCCAAGAAGAAACCCAGCAATTCCAACGACAAGTTCAGGTGGCACGACCAAAGACTTAACTTGGCGAAACGTTGTGTATATACTGACGCAACAGGCAGGGACGACAATCCAAACAACTATTCCCTGTGTGGTTCTTAACATTTCTGCATTCCAATCAATTTTGGCATTCCGATCGAAAGCCGTCTGGCGTGTGCCAAAACCTCGCTGCATTCGCGTTCCTATAAAAGTGAGATAGATACCTGCTTCGCCGAGCAACGACACGGTCCACAACAGCCATTCGCATACAATGAGCATAGGTGTTGCATCGTAATGAGCAATCGGCAGCCTTTGTGGTGTTTATGGGCGCGTCAAGTGCAGCGGTCATAGAGCACCCAGATACTTAGTACTTACATTGCCCGGCATTGTTGGCTGCAACACAAAAACCTGCCAGCAAAGAACGCAGGAATTACACAACATTCATGAACATTCGTGCAGATAGCTTGTAATGTTACACCACTTGTATGGCCCTTCCCCTCTCGCGCTGTCACGAACACAGCGCACACGACAAGGCGTGTCACGAAAAAGCATTAACAATCACAACCAGAGCGGAAATTGCTGACGCGACACATATTTCTTACCTTCAAACCAACCTATTTAGCACAAGTTTATTTCAGCTGCTAGCACTGCCACCCCAGGACATGCAGAGCGGCCGCGACTCTGGCTTCTCCCGCCCTCGTTCGCACTCTCTCCCGCTGGTTCTGACTCCCTCTCCTCGCCCCTCTGGCTCTCCCGTCCTCTCCGCCGCTCGCTATCGTCTACGCGCCCGTCTGTCTGTCTCACCTGGCCCGGCTGCTGTCCGGAGATGTATGATCCGGGCGGGGGCACCATGAACGGGGCCGGCGGGGGCCGCGGCCCGCCCATGGCCGGAGCCGCGCCACGCGGACCGTAACTCATGCTGCTACCCTGCTGCCGCATCAGCGACGACTGCTGCTGCTGCTGTTGCTGCTGTTGCTGTTGCTGCTGTTGTTGCTGCTGCTGTTGCTGCTGCGGTGGCTGATGCAGCTGCTGCTGTTGCTGCTGCTGGTGCGGCTGCTGGTGTTGCTGGTAGGCGGCCGCGGCGGCACTGCCGGCGCCTCCCACGTCCACTGTGGACCAGCGCAGTTCGGTCAGCGGCTCTCCACTCCATCCGTCCCACGCGCAACCGAGCCTGCACCACACGCGACCACGCACGGCAGCCGCCGCCGTCAGGAGCACACTTCAACACACGCCAACAATGTCTGCGCTACAGGAAGTGCACAGTGTACAGCAGAGGACGATCTGGTGACGTAAAACACTTGTCGTACAAGGCCGGCTTTTACGCTTGTTTCCAGACAAGGCCGCTGCGTTTAACGTCCACGCACCGCGTGCATGGGCAACAACAGCAATATCATTCAGCCGCGAACAGCCCCACAACACAGCTGGTGTTTCTCTCTGCGCACCAGACCGCGCTGACCAGCCCCCACGAGTCGTGTCGCCTCGCTCGCCACAGGGACACGCTGGACGTGGCACATAGGCCAAAATGATAGGCACTGGGCCGCAGATACAGTCACACACTTCACACCCGTCCGTGCGCAACATGGCTTTCATGGTTCGGCATTTCGACAAAATAAGATCATATGAGCGAATGAACACATCACCAAGTATGCATATGGACGTAGCCACGCATTAAAAGTGAATGGGATCCATTTCTGTTTTGATGACATTTTGAATGAATAAAACATGATCTTTTATCACCAACCCATGATCAAATCGTCCAACCGGCTAGATAACTGAGATTCAGACACCACCCACCCCGATAACCGCTACACCATCTTGTGTTTGGGTTGGCTGGCATAAAACTGCACTTTTAAAATTGGTTTCCTTCCGTCCGGTGTACGCCGCGTTTGGTCCGTCGTCAGCACGTTTCTGAGCACCAATCACGGCCCAGTATTCACCCTACGTCACGTCACGTGACCACAAAGTCACGTAGCCTGCGACGTCACGCGCCGGCTGGCGATGATGCCAGGATTTTTTGTCGGCCCGTCCGCATGGAGAGAAAGCGTTACCAGATTAACCAATCACTCTGGCAACGAAGCATGTGCTGGATTTGGTAGCTCTTGGGTTGACAAGTACCTCAGGCGACTGGGACACATGTATCTGATTTTGAGGGAATGCAACGAATGGAAAGAAAAGAACTGAACAGCCAAGAGTAGCCTTGACAAGTTCAGTGACAGTGATTGGTGTGGTGTGTGGTTGCGTTTCCCAGTAGATTAATAGCAATGGAGTGATCGCAAAAGATGAAGAACAGCAACTAAACGCCACCGGTCTTGAACCTGTCTTTTGCCAGTACCAGTTGGAGTTTAATGAAAATATGGGTTCACGCCAACACAAGAAGCAGTGAAGGATATAGATGTAGAGCGGCTCCACAGAGAAAAAATGAGAACACTTAAAATAAGAAGGGAACACATTGAAATGAGATGGAAATGGAAAGCACTCAAATCACGCATGACATAAATGATGGTAATATCAGAGTAGAATCTACACTTCCAAACACCACTCTACTGGGTAGTGTCTCATGGTCGGCGGTGAGCCAGAGCTAGTAAAGTATTAAAAGATAAAGGGAAAAAGGAGGGACGAAGTTAAAAAAAAAAACGTTCCCGTCATCCTACACAATGAGTGCTCCATCAGCACACGTGACGTCACGCGTTCCAGCTGACAATCGTGCTAACGACAGATCAAACAGGGCCGTAGTCAGTCCCAAGAATCACGACAAGATCGTGATAGCAAAAAGCGAACATCTCAAGAATGTATTACTGTACCTTCCAAAATGTTTCGCGTGACATTATTTTTATCCATCTATCATTCCAGGGCCTGCATGAATGTGTGCTAATGTATATTATGTAATATATTTGGGTATGTGCCGTTAGATCTTTGAAATGTTCCACTTCAGTCACTGACGTAAGGCGCCGATACAGCGCACAGGTTTTGAAATACTTCGCAATAGTAATTGGGGCTTTCGGGCGCTTGAACTGCGCGGTTATATAGCGCCCATTTGTTTTTGTTAAAGGGCTGCAAAAAAAGCATGATATACTGCGCCGGACGGGAAGTGAGTGCCGCACAATAGCCGAAGCGGCTGCGTCAAAGTCCACAGGCCGAGGTCCAAGGTCCAGGTCCGGCATTCCGCAGCTGCAACCGAGCGACATCCACTGACGCATGCGCAGACCACCGTGTGCCCGGACCATGCTCGTGTTCAACGCGTGGATCTGTGCGTTCGCCGAGGCGCTGGGTTTCTAGCATGACTGGAAAAAAACTGCCAGGCTAAGGTGTGTGCGCATCTGGAGAAGAGTAATTTCAGCGTGTATCGCTGACCCAGGCGTCTAAATTGGACTTAATAGCCCTGGCAATCCGTTCCTGAACCAGTAATCCTTCATTACCCTCATCACTTGTTCCGGCCTCATTACTCACTTCTCGCCCTAACAGGGACGTCAGTTTATATACTTCTGGAGTCAGGCCCCCTGTAACAGCTTTAGCTCTGCTCCATGCAGACTTGAGGCCCCTCCCCCACGCTCCTCCGAGCCCTTTCAATGAACAAGGTCAAGAAAGTAATACTGGACCAAGGATATGCAGAAAGTCCTTTAACAAGTCTGTTCTCCCACTTATCGACATGCATGTTGAGAAGGTCGTGTAAGTTCCGCTTTGTTTGTATACATAGATACATCCTGCCAGTGTACGCAATTGTTTTCGTAGCCTCACGCCTGTAAGTGTGAGGCGGCGATATTCTGCATCAAATCGAATTATTGCCCCTCGGGCCGTCTTTGATTAAAGTTTCACGATTTTTTGTTGTTCACACAACCGGTTGATTTATTGGGATGTTCTTTACTTACTTCTGTGGAATACGCTCAATTCTAAGCTTGTCACAGGATTCAACTCCACGTCGGCTTGGAATGAAAATTCCAACCTTGTGAATAAAACAAGTTGGAAATGGACACAAAAACTGAAAAAGTTTGGTTACTTTTGATATCGGAAACGCAACTTGAAGTGACGCAAGTTCGAATCAGGCGTTGGGGTCAGGCAAGTCGGCTTGATCGATTTAGCCCCATCCAAGGCCTTTTTCTAGCATACTATTATTCATCGTTGCGAATGCAGTGAAAACCCCGTTGCGTCATAAACTTGGCACACCATCAATACATGTAATGCCTACATCATGGATCTGTACTGAACTAGCTAAAAAATGTGTTTCAGGAATTTCCTTGTTTTCGACAGCCCGGAACCTTGAGAAGACTCAGTGACCTTTACCAAATATGTCTACCAAGAAAACAATAGCGATTCCTTTGCGAGGACGACGGCACATCTCCAAACAGAAGCTGACGCACGTCTGCGGCAAGTTATTGGCAATCAAGCGATGAAAGGGCTTCCCCATCCAGTAACATTCCACCATCAAATGATGCAAAGCCGTTTCCACAATAAACTAAGCCACCATGAGAGCATAACAAGACACTGCTCGGCAGCTATGCATGATCTGGAGTCCTGGCCACGACAGAGGGTCGGGAGCAGGGTGGACGGGAAGAGTCAGTGAAAACCACGCCGTTACATGACAAGAACCGACATTGAAAACGATACGTTACCGGCTGTGCTGTGCAAGCTACTTGTTTACCAGCAGCAAAAGAGCACGCATCTCCATTCACGGTTGCTGACGGCTACTGGCGTGCAAGGCGCTGATTGCGGGCTTTTAGGCTTGTCGACGGTGGTTCTTTCACCGCGATACCACCACCCACTGCGACCGAGGCCGGCGGGACATGTAAGGGCGCGCCCCGCATGGCACGCCCGTCTCAGACAGTGCGCAAACCGCTCGGAGGCGGCGGCGGCCAGGGTCCAGCGGTCGCGCTCCGGTCCGCCGGCTGCCGGCGGATTAGCCGCTCGTGGCGGACGCGCCGTCAGCTGGGCGCTGGCCCGGCCCGGCGCGGCCCGGCGCGGCCGAGGGGAAGCCCGCCAGTGGCTGACGCAACGCCTGATAACGCTGCGGCGCGCCGCAAACAACCGCCCCACACGGCGCAGCGGGCTGGTGTCGCCGACCGACAGCAGAGGGGGCCGGTCCGCTGCCGGCACGCGTTGGCGACGGCTGGCAGCGGAGATTTCCCATCCCCACTCCGCCGATGCGGCCACTGCACGTGGCGACAGCGCGTCAGATAACCGGCTGGACCGCTGGACTGGGCATCAAAGGGCCGTCGGCGCCGAACGGGCCGGAACGCGCGGCGGTCACCGAGCGGCGGCGGGACGGACGCGGCTCTCACCGGGCACGGTCCGCAGTAGGTCGCCGCCCGGGTCCGTTCCGAGCCAGCGACGACACGGCTCAGATCCGGCCCGTCCAGGTCACGATCGCGGCCGGCGCTGCCGTCGCCGATGACATGGCCGCCGGGCCGCGTCCTCGCACGCTCCGGGTGGCACCGGCACCGACGCACGCACACGCACCCGCGCACACGCACGCACACACACTCCAGCAGCGCGGCGGTGCCTGCCTGTGGGCGGAGCGCGGGCCGGCTGCTGGCGGCGCGGCCGACCGGAAAACAGGAATGCCGCGCTGCCTAACTGAGCCCGTGCCCGCCAGCCACGCACCGCGCCGCGCCGCGCCGCCCGCTTGAATGGCCATCTGCAGCGTACGGTCATTCAAGCCGCGCCGCCCGACGGGCCGGCCGGCCGGTCCGGCCTTGATAGCGATAGCCGCCGCCGCCGCCGCCGCCGCCGCTGATGTCAGCCCGACGGGCGAGCGCCACGCAAGACCACGGCACGTGCGTGCTGGCTGTTCAAACGCCCGCTGCAGCCGGGCGCATAAAGCAAACTATAGGTTGAAACATTTGGAAAACTGGGTGAGCCGGAAAGTCATCTTATTTGAGCCGATATCTACTTACTTTCGCCAGTTCATCACACTCATCAATGACGCCTTCAGCGCAAACCTTTAGCTGCTTCGCCAACACATTTTATGGTAAAACACAAGCATAGAAAATGTCACATTCCGCTGGTTATAAGGCATTATGTCAGCAATTGGCTGCTTACACTGCAGTATCTTTTCACACTTCTGGTCATAATGTTCCCGAAGGCGTTCAATGACAAGACAGGGATGTATGGACCA